ATAATTACTTATGTTAGTTAAGAACGTTATTTATCGGAAAATTCTCATCAAAAAATAATAAGTCAAGGTACCATTGGAAGCAGAATCGAACGCCAATCAAAATGATGTGCCATTTGTCCCCCTCTCCATTTGAAATTCTAAGGGTAACATCTACCCCTCCTAGGAGGTTGAAGCACAAGGGCTACAAATAGTCCCTGAAAGTGTCCCCATTGACAATAAAATTGATTTGTTTTTTCCTCATATTGTTTACTGGACGGAAGGGTGGTAAGTTTCTAAATTGACACCCTATACAGGGCTTTTCATGATGATCGGTAATTAGCCGTTTCTAACAAACTATTTAACGGAACAACCTGAAAATTTCACAGTATGCATAAATCAATATGACCTACATGCCTGAAATATTTCAGACGAAATTTTCAAATGGAACACCCTGTATATTTCAACATTTTTGAGCTCAACATCCAATTTTAAATTAACTTTGTTCACATAATACTATTTCTATTTTGAACCGTTTTCGAGATAAACTGTTTTTAGGCGTGTAGGTCATATTGACTTATGCATACTGTGGAATTTTCAGGTTGATCCGTTGATAGTTTGACAGAAACGGCTAATTAACGCTCATCATGAAAAGCCCTGTATATGGATCCTATACGACTTTATAAAAATCAGTGTGAGTTGAAACACACAGTTATTATTTGAATGATCAAAATAGACTGATGCAGGTACTCACTTGTACTCTTATATTCGTAAATGAATCATATGAATTTTATTACAATAACAATAACAAAATTAAGCCTGATTATTTCTATGGTATTTGTATATCTTTTTGATTATGTTCATGAGAAAATTAATTGATGAATAGACATCTTTAGTGGATTTTGAATGAAGAACACACATCGGTGATGCTCAGATACGTGAAACCTAATACCAATTGAAAATTGTAAATTTCAATATGTCGGTTATATAAAAGTGTCTCTTGACTCGCATATAGGTATATAATACCTATTTAATATACAAATAATATACGCATTTTGCTTAATTTAGGTTTTTCATTCATTCATTATTATTTCATCAACAAGTCCTGGAGTTTTTATAGGCATCCTGAATGAATCAACAGTTAAAATAAATGCTACTCATTTTCAAATCTCTCCAATTAGTAGCTTCATTCGCAAACAAACAATATCTTGATTTCTCTCAACTTATAGTTATTTAATAAGTTTTTCGGAGATATAAACTTTTATAACAGTAAATAAGTACTTCTTGGTCATTCAACGTGTAAAAAAGAGCGCATCTCAACATTCAACGTGTAAAGCTTGTCGTCCACTTGTCCGGCGCAGCACAGACATTCACCCACTAGCCCGGCACGGCACACCCAAGAGCATCCGCCGCCGGAAAGGACTTCAGCTCTCCTATCCTGTCCAGCAAATAACGGTACGTGCTGTAACAGACTGGCCAAGTGACTGTCCAGACTGTCCAAACGTGCCTGGGAAGTTTCTGTCTCTCTGTTTTGCTATTCCATCAGTTGACAGCACAGTGTCAAGTGGTACCTATGAAAATGGTCGAGTAAAAATTGAGTTGCTTGTTAAGGCTGGTTCTAGAATATCCAGAAGTTCTAAAAATTTGCCTGGAGTCATTCGGAAATATTGGAAAAATTTCTCCTCGTCTTCTTTCAGATCGTTGAAAAGATGAAGAAACTCTCCCAGATTTGCTCTCTTTTGAATAATGGGATGGACCCACAACATTATTTTTTGTGACTAGTGATAGACATGTTTCTGTCACCGCTCAATGTCAACTGAAATTCCCTTGAAATCGAACAAACAGCACCTTCAGTATGCTGGTTGTAGCTGGACAAGTGGGCGATGCTAGTACCCTTCGTCATCAGGCAACGGACAGCGCCATGCTATGCTGTGCCGGACAAGTAGGCGACAAGCTTGAGATAGGGATCATGGGTCAGGAGAGCGCCGACTCCAGGATGGTGCTGATCCGTTTCAAAGATAAGAAAGATATAACGGATGTCCCAAAAATGGAATATATGGTTCACATATTACTAATTTCGTTGCATTTTCAAGGTTTCGATTTGAATATTTATTATATGTGACCTTCGAGGTCGCAGTTTGTTTACACAATTGCTGTTCTGTTTCTAAGATGGGAAAGATGTAACGGATGTCCCAAAAAAAGAGGCAACTTTTACATAATTGCTGAGTGTCTAACTACTGCACTCAATCATCGAGTTCTCTCCACCCTTCACTGTAGGGATGACGTAGGTGCATGAGGAGTTGCAAAAAAAAAACGATCAAATGTATCCCCGAGAACAATGCAAGGACGTAAGTTTTTGTGCAGTGCAGTTTTTGTAGATCGTCAATGACCATAAAAGTGTGGTCGTCGACGACGAAGAGAGAGAAAAGTGCCAAAAAGGCCTTAATGAACGATCCTGGGGGTGAAAGAGAAGACAATGGAATGACGTAACTTCTTGAGCAACCCCGTTGGTGTCGATTATCAATGACCAGAAGGTGTGGCCGAAAAAGTGGCAAATGGGCCTAGGTAACCCTTTTGGGGTGATAACCAGAAAGGGTAATTTGCCAAAAGAGCACACGTGTTCCGATACAGGCCAGCCTGGCTTTGCCAACATGATATTTGTTGTGACGCATTTGGTAGTAGTAGACAGAGCTAATCCGTTCAAAAGATAAGAAATGTGTCCCAAAAATGCAATATACCAGGTGGTCTCCAACATAATCATTGATATAGAAAAAAAAACATTGACGGCCTCGCTTGCGTAAACGCAAGCGACACATAAGTGGAATCACCTATTGGTGTGACACCCAAGTCAACTTGCCAAGTTTTTATGTCAGTGTTGGTAGTTCGACTAACCAATAGGTGGTTCCACTTATGTCTCGTTTGCGTTTATACAGTTCTTTTTATTAAGTGCTTTTCTCAATTATTCACATTTTTTCTATTCAGTTAAAAGGGGAAGGAGGCCAGGCTTCAACCTGAATAAAGTCAAGATGGTTAACGTCACATTTTTTCTCCAATCGAGGACCGCCTGCCCGGTACTGACGATGCCCAATAGGCTGAAACAGCTGTCTACCGGCGGCTCTTAGATCTAAATCAATATGGGAATGATCAGAATAGTATTTATCTATTTATCTTTTGATTTTCATGGATTTATTTTTCAGCAGCTTGATTAACCTTTCTCAATTTTATATATTTATAGGCTGAAATGTCTCGGGCCTAAGATATAGATGGCGCTAGTCTTATTGCATCCACAGCTTTTTCAGTTAGCAGGTAGGTAGGTAGGTCTGTAGTGAGTGGGTCTATTTGACCCTTCATCGCAACCCACAAGGGTTTATTGTGGCTCACACCTATTCACACTCGGCCAAATAAACCCAGCTTCTTAACGAAGCCGATTAGTTTCTATGGTGAGTGGACTTTCAGGTCAGATGGTGAGAGTACGGATCTGCCGAACTCTAAGAACCTGATTCGGTGTCCAGCGGGGCAGGCACAAAGTATATGATCTGCTGTTTCATTATTTTCCAGACTGAGGCGACACACACTGCAAATGACAGTGGCCTGTCAGAAGGCCTGTTGGACATCGTAGTTTATTCCTACTGTAGTCCAACAAGTGTTTGGTATCAAGCTTCGAATGGTGAATAAAGGCCTTGGAGTGAGCCAATCCTGGAAGATTCTGCCAGAAGTCCATAAATCTTCTTGCATTCAGGTGTTCAGTGTTTGTTCGGCAAAGCCCAAAGCGATGCCAATGACAGGTTCTGGTCCGATGAAGCCGCTTGCAGCACTTTCCTTGGCAAGAGAGTCGGCAGCTTCATTGCCTTCCAGGCCAGTATGGCCAGGAATCAGACCAGAGACGATCTGTTTGTTAAGTCTTCCTATCGAGGAGAGTCGTTTTTGGCAGTTTGCTACCAATTTAGACGTTGCTCGATAGGAGCCAAGAGCTCCCAACGCCGCTTGACTGTCCGAGAATATTTTTATTGACTTGTGAGGTTGGATTTATCCAATTGGTAATGTGCAATCCATCTAGCCTCTCTCTCCAGGAAAATGTGGAGAGGAGGTAAATCTAGAAGGATCTCCATAGCCACTGACGGTGTGGTACTGATGGCACCACTGATAGCCAGACAAACACAGTTTTGCTGGGGTTGACAAACATCTGCTCCCTCAGGCACCAACTGTGAACAACGTCCAACGCCCAATATCAACAGCAATACAGTTAGTACTGACCTTCAAAAGAAATTTCATGATATCCTACTCATGAGTTTGTGTGTTATTGTGCTAAGAGTGACACCACTTTTGTAATTTTCAAAACAATGGATCAAAAACAATTTCGTGGCCATGTTTAAACATAGCAAACTGGAATATTTGCGTCGATATGTGACAATGGATGGAGAGCAACTGGTGAAACTCATCCAAAGCGCCCGAAAGCATAACAATTGGCTGGAGAGTTTATGGCCTCAGTATTTTGGAATGTGCTTGACGTAATATTCATCGACTATCTTGAGAAGGGACATATCATTAACCCTATTAAATAGAGTTATTGAAGCGGTTGAAGGCCGAAATTGCGGAAAAACGATCCCATTTGAAGAAAAAGAAAGTGCTGCTTCATCATACTCCCCCATATACCATATTCGCCAGATTCAGCTCCCAGCGACTACTGGCTGTTCGCAGACCTCAAAAAAAAGCTCACCGGTAAGAAATTTCGCTCGAATGAAGAGTTTATTGCTGAAACTAAGGCTTATTTTGAACCAAAAGATAAATAATTCTTCAAAAGTGGTATTGAAATGTTAGATCGGCGCTGGAATGATTATGTGGCTCTTGATTACGTTGATGGATAGAGCTAATTTTGAACTAAAAAATAAGTTTCCTTTCTTAGGTCCGGAACTTTTCAGCCCAATTTGATATCATACATGTTAAACATCCCCAGTTAGTACTATTGGAACTATTACATGTTTATGTTTTGCTGTCATTGGCTTTAAAAATGTTTTTTCTTTCAGGAAGGATGAGATTCTTTGACGTTGTTCTGATCTTCATACTAGGGAACGAATGTGTAATGACGTCATCCAATGAATGCAGAAACAGTGAACACTGTCGATGTATCAACAAATTTGAAGAATATGAATTTCAATGTACGTCAAACAACGACAATGTGGTTGTACATGCAGTTCCTGACAAGTATATTAAAATTGACTGTTTTTCCACAAAATTCAAGGTCAATATTTTACCTAACTACACTGCCGGAAATATTGAACTTTTTGAATTAAGATTCTGCCCATTGACCTTAATTGACTTCTTCTCAGTTCTCGAGAAGTTCGGAATTGAAAATTTGGAAAATGTTCGCTTGAAAGCATTATGGAAGAACTCATCCAACGAAACTGTGTCTCTCACTAAAGACTTCTTACGAAGTCTTTCCTCTATGCGAAATCTTTATATTTCAGTTTCTGATAATGTCACAGATGTTGAGGCATTTGGGAACTTCCCAAAATTAACGAATCAATACTTGCCAAACAATTCTATTCAAGAAGTGGGTGGTATGTTCATAATCCCAAAACATCTTAAAGTACTACACTTGTCGAACAATGCTCTTACACACATTCCTAATGGTACATTCCAGAATCTTGTAGAGCTGCAGCAATTACGTTTATGGAAAAATAACCTGAGTGGTATAACAAAATATGACTTTGCTGGCTTAAACCATCTGAAATCTTTGGAGCTTAACAGCAATCATATACAGTTCATTGACAAAGATGCATTTTCTAATCTATCAGAGCTGATAATTATTAGTTTGAAAGGAAATCAATTGGGTCATATCAATTCGAATATTTTTAGGCATAACCAAAAACTCAATAATATTCTAATAGAGTTCAATTCCAATGTTACCTTGGATGACTATGTTTTTGCCAATTTGAAAAAATTGTGTATGGTGAATTTGGCACAATCAGGATTGACAACAATTCCAGAGCATGTTTTTGAAGGTTCTGAAAATATAGAGACATTATTACTGCAAAATAACTTTCTACAAGAGTTTTCAAAGGGAGTATTCAGTAGTTTGAAGAATCTCAAACAACTCAACCTGAGTAGCAATAACATTTTATCCATTCCTGATACCTTACTGTCACCGCTTGTGAACTTGGAAGTCCTGGACTTGAGAGGAAATATTATTTCTGAAATCAATTACAAAATATTCAAGTCGCCAAAAAATCTCAAGAAACTATTCCTGAACAACAATCAAATAAAAACAATCATGCCAAATGCTTTTCAAAACAACAAAGGACTTATTTCTATTGATTTATCTAATAATTTGTTCGATATGAAATACGAATGTATGTTGGAATACAATCCATTCATGAATTGTGATCAGTTAGAAGAATTACTATTAAGTGGAAATCGTATAGATGAGTTTCCCTCGATCATCATGCACATGGTTCTTCGAAGGAAATTGAATTTGAAACAGGACAATTCCAGCTCTTTTCATGTAAGTGAAATTTACATTTGATATTTTTGATCAATGTTATTGTTTAAGAACGAACAAAAGGTATAAGTTTTTCCATATTGTACACTAATTGTGTAATTCGCTCTCGCATACCTATATGATATTATATAAATATCAAAAATCAAAATTGATGGATGTAGCCATTACTACGTGTCAGGAGATCGTCATGAAAAATAAGAAATGAAAATTTCTTGTTTTTAACCACTTTTATTTGTAACTGAAGTACTGCAGTTTCGTCCTATAAGGACATTTTCAACGTTATACATTTAATATATTTAGTAATTCAGTGCCTACTATTATGAAATTATACTACAGACAATTTCAAATACTCGCTTCGTCAAAATGAGTATCCCGACTCCCAATGTTGTTAGCAGCATCAACGGCAACCCTGGTTGAGACATTGGGCAACAGTCACAAGAATTTTTGTATAGTTGGAAGGTTTTCATACATTTGTGCATGAAGATGTAGAAAAAAATGCTTTTTCCCAAAAACTAATATTTTCTACAGAACGTGCCTCTTTCAATTTACCCTAAATTTATCGTTTTTTATCTGATCAATACCGTAGATTCAGATCACTAAGCCTAAGAATTAAGTGGGTAATAGGAAAAAATACCAGCGTGGTCCAAACAGAACTGGTTGGTATCTCAATCGCCACAAAAGAAATGAGCAGGAAAGGAATTTCTGGCAAAAACATAACAACCTGCACTGACAATAGAAAAGCCCTATTAGCCTTGAACAGACAACGTGTTACCACACGGGCTAGTACTAGCGTGTCACCAAGATTTAGCCAAAGCCTCGGTAGATAATAACATTATCCTGAGGTGGGTTAAAGGGCACGACAGGAGTAAAGGTAGTCGCATTGCCGACTCTTTAGCCAAGAAAGCGGCTGGACTAAGAATTTTAGGGCCCAGTGGCATCTACCTGATGACTTCTACAATTGCCGAACTAGCCAAATGTTACACCCATGCTCAATCCCTAAAGAGATGGGATGGAATCAAAGGATGCAATCTTGCCAGGATCACCCTGGGCGACCCTGGGAAGCTGGCGTCGAAGAAATATCTGGTGATGATCAGGAAAAATCTACGCTCAACAGTAGGATTTCTGACTGGCCACTGTCAACTAAGGAAACACCTCCATAATATGGGGCCAGTGGACACACCTCTATGCAGGGTGTGTGAACAGAAAGATGAGACTGTCAGGCATGTCATATGCGAGTGCCCGGAGTTATCGTCAATAAGAGAGTATGTGTTCGGCGATTGGCCTACACCTGCCGATATAAAGGAGATGATCATTTATTTTATTTGATCTGATTATGGCCACTCAATACAGTTCAAACAAAGGAGGTAATAGGGTTCTTAGTCATAAATTATTTTTATAATTACTTGAAATATGTGATGGAATTGGTCGACACTTGATGGAAATCCATAAAGTAATCAAGTTACACTTTACTATGAGATTTTTTATTGAACACTTGACAAAATCTCCCAATTAAGTGTTACTTGGATCTGGGTAACAAGATGAAGCACCCCATTCATAACATAATGACTTCGTGTCACGAATGAGTTGAATCTACTCATGTCATCGATGATAGTAAGTGATGACATTACCTTTTGAAATTGTGTCATGCTCGTATTGTCCAGTTTCTATAACTGTCCAGTAACTATATTGTATTCGTGTTTTATACAATTTTCACATTTTAGTTCTTTTTTAGACAAAATAGTTCATTTGACTTGAGTTCCAGACAAAATATTCCGAAAATTATATTCTATTTTGATTGCTTTTTTTTACGTGATACGTTATCAAATTATGTTTATTTATAAAACCACCCACATCTTATTCGTGACCGGTTTTTGATTTCATGTTCAATAAGATAAATGTCAAATATGCATTAAATACATTTTAATGTTTGTAAATCTTTTGCGGAAAAAATCCTCACTTGTTTACTTTGTAGTAAATGTTCAAGAGGTAGCAAAAACGTATGTGAATTTTTGGAACTTCAGCTAGCGTTTCCTAATATGACTAATAACCAGGCCTTGCAAAGCTTATTGTTAAATCATCTGAAAATGGAACTTTTAACAGGTGATGCTCGACTGTATTGCCAAACATGCGCCAAACTAACTGACCGTTATAAGAAACCAGTCAATCTAATAATAACACTGATGATCTTCAAACATAACTCAACCTCTGACGGAAAGAAGTTTCGAAATAGATGAACACTTCAATTTAGCAGACCACTATTATGATCTTCTTGCAGTCATTGTTCACTGTGGTTCTGGCGTTGAATCTGGTCATTATTACGCCTTGGTCAAAGACGAAACAGACTGGTTTAAGTTTGACGATAGTCGTGTCACCAAGTGTTCTGGCGATGCAGTGAATTTAATGGAGCCTCTGGAAACACCCTACATTTCGTTTTATGAGAGAGAGGATATTGGCAGATCTATATCTTCCGATGATGTGGTGCTGCAGGTTTTTCCTGCAGCTAAAAAAGCAAATGCGCCACTGGAATCAATGGAGACGCCCCGAAGCGCCAATTAATTTTTTTTGTTGTCTTATAATCACATGATATTTATTTTAGAATTAATAACAGTAGTTTCATTACAATTTTAAACGTAATTGAAAAATTTTAAAACGGTAAATTTATATTACTTTGTTGAATAAGTAATATCCTCTAAAATATGTAATAATATGTTGTAGGTAACCGAATCAAAACACATTGCATCCAAAAATGTGAAGGTGGACTTGAGCAACAATAAGATATCTGTCGTGGAATTCAAGGACTGGGAACATCTTGCAATAGAAACATTCAAGAATCAGAATGTGAAAAAAAATGTTGTACCCTTAACAACTATTCTTCTTTATAATAACCCGTTGTCATGTGACTGTCGTAACTACGATCTGGTTCGATATTTCAAAGATATGTTGAATCCTGCTGTGAAGGCTGTAGTTGATTTAAGAATTGTAGACAGCAATTGCGCGGCGCCGGATTCATTGCAGCATATGAAAATAGAAGATCTTCAACCTCAGTACATAAGTTGTCCATATCTTTCAAAATGCGAGACCTCAAGCCAATGCCAGTGTTTCTATCGACCCTTTTACAAATCCGTTTCAATAGATTGTTCATATAAAAACCTCACGGAATGTCCCAGAATTGATGTGAATTTTAGGAGAGTGGAAATGAACCTAGTGGGAAATATTATACGTTATGGTCCGAATTCCAGTTTAGGATATGACAATGTGACTACCTTATATTTGTCAAAAAATAGGATTGAGCAGATCGAATGGGTTCCTCCTAAAATCAAAGTAAGATCTGTATTAATTTTACCAGAATTGATATCAATGACAAAAGAGCATTTCTTTCAATCAAAAGATATGCATTACTCTATTTCTGAATTTTCATTATCCATAAGATTGTTATTTAGATGTCTTATCCAAGGGATATATTTTGAATTTTAAAAATTTATTACTTTTTTCTGATAATATTAATGGTGATCGATACGCAATTCCAGCAGTAAACAGTATTATTTTTATCATTTTTGCAAGACGGCTGGAACCAGATGGTTTATTATTTCGATAAAAATTTGAAGTAGTCCTTCGATTCGAACATCTATTGAACATTTTATAACTAATACTTCGCTAATCAAGATTTTCTAACAGAATTTTTCATTACACTATTTTCATCATGGATATATTTACACTGTTTACTTGCAGCGTTTTTGGACCGTTCTTAAACAAATTGTCTTTCAACAGATTGTCTATAATTGTCTATAATTTATTGCATCATGTAAGAACTCATCCAAAGTTTTATATTCGTTAAGTGCTAAACATGAAACATATTTCGGCCTCAAATTTTTCTGAATCCATTATATTCTCGTTGTTGCCATTAGTGGAGTAATCAAACGGTTGAACCCTCATATCTAAGCATAAGTCGAAAGAAATCACTCCGAAAGTCATAAATATTGTTGAAAATCATTAATCACAATCGTTTGATAAGGAAGAGATCAACCTTTTGAACAACGGTTTGAAATTATGCATCCCGCCTTTCGAGAAAGTTCTTGAGGATATCGTTGCTAGTGTTGAAAGTTCGATTCAATATATGCCCCATTCCTCGAAGGGACTAGTTCGAGAAAAGGTCAGGAATCAAATATCCAAGAACAAGATATACAGAATCATTCAATAAACAACGATAAAAACCAAAAGAAACTTATAAAACGATTGAAAGACAAAGACGTTTTTTATTTGAAAGCCGACAAAGGTAACAAAGTAGTAATTCTGGATAAATCAGACTACTACGAAAGGGTAAATACTCTCATTACTGACGGACCGTACGCGAAATTGTCTAGGAACCCGTTACCAAAGATGATGAACTATATTGCCTCCCTAAAATCCACAAACCAGGAAAATCAATGCGTGTCAGCTATTAGAGCTCCTACCTATCAGATAGCAAAGTGGCTTACTAAGGAATTTGAAACCAAGTTTTAGTATAAAAAACTCTTTAGAGTTCATACAACATTAAAAAAACATGGTTCTGCAGGAATGTGAGATTTTGGTTTCTTTTAATGTTAGTTCCTTATTTCCTAGCGTCCCAATTCCACAGACCTTGCAATACCTCAGGGAATTAGTAGAGAAAAATAATTTCAATGATAACGAAATCGATGAATTCGTTTCTCTTACTAATTAGTGTATGAAACAAAATCGGTTCCAGGTAGAAGGTTGCTTTTATGAACAACAGGAAGGAACGGCCATGAGAAACCCCTTGTCCCCCTACCTGGCAGACCTGTTGATGAGCAGATTCGAAATGAAAACCAAAGAAAAGTCGAAGTATTTTCCTAGTATTTGGCTAAGGTATGTGGATGATATTTTCGCGATATTCGATACCAAAAAGTAGAATATTGAGGACTTTGTTTCCATTTTAAATAATTGATGTCCATCAATAAAATTCACGTATAAGTTAGAAAATAAGGTACAACTACCATTTCTTGACGTTTTGGTAATGAGGAGCCAATATGGAGGGTTAGAATACGATATATTTAGAAAAGAAACAAGCACGTACAGGTATATTCCGAACAGTTCACATCACTGTGGACAGCACAAACGTGCTGGGTTGAATTTTTTGACTTTCCTCTAACACATGATAGGTTCACAAAAGAAAGACGTACAATACAGGAAATAGAATCTCATAAAATATTAAATCTTTATAAGTTTTTATGTATGTATTTTGAAAAAAGATTGAATGAAACAATGCTAACAAATTTAACAGTTATTTGTCTGTTGAATTTTGATACGCCTTTTATATGCTTGCAGTATTCTCTTAATCGAACCTAGCAAAAACACTAACATATGCAGTGAAATGAGTGAAAAAGTTAAAAACCAATTTTTGATAACTCGTCACCGATTAGTCAGACACAACCCTCTCTAATCCAGAATATCTGATAACAGACATGCAAGTAAGAATAATATCTATCAACTATTACACATACATGTAAATGTAAAAACATTCCTAAAACATAAATAGGTATATTAAGAGATGTAGACTTAAATGTTTTTTTAAAGATCAGCACCTAAAAATTCTTGGACTCTACAATAGCATTTCTATAAAAACAAGTTTATTTTGAAATATGGTATAACATTTACTACCTGGTATTTTTTCAATAATAATAATAGCAATGATTGATTTTCCCAAGGAGCATACTTGATTGTAGTAGGGAAAAACCCAATAATCATTACATAGTATAAGTCGCTTTCTGCTGTCTGTTCCTATGTATGCTTAGATCTTTAAAACTACGCAACGAATTTTGATGCGGGTTTTTTAATAGATAGATTCAAGAGGAAGGTTTATATGTATATAACATGCATAATATAGTAGAAAAACACTAATAATTTTGAAGGTTTCTAATGTAATGTCGTGAATTAACACATTTTTTGCGTTTACATTGCAAACGCTTAGGCTCGATAATACAGATTAATACAGTCAAAGTTAAAGTAGAATATGAATTTAAAATTATTGAAACTTACTTTTCCAAGGTTTATTTTCTAGGTTTCTGTATCATTTATAAGATACAAAATTTCGTGGAATTCATAAAAATATAAATTTCCGACGTTAAATGAGGATAAGAACATAAAAAGAGAGAGTACTGAACGATGATTCAAATCGGCTGGTTTTATTGTATGGTTTTAATGTTATCGCACCTAGGTGTAGTTCCGATATTCTGTGACCTAGGCAAGAATGTAAAATCTCAAAAATTCTTGAATTTTCGGATCATGCCACCAGAAGAACAAAACGAATACATTTCCACAAATGATAGGTATCATTTTATACACAACTTTATTGCAATGAAAGCCCAAATTTCAAAAAATAATTGTTGATTTGTTTATTTGAAATTTGTAGTGTACCTGAAAAGCTCAATAACTGTATATATATAGTTTACAAAAAGCATTTAGAAAACATCGATTAGAGTAAATATGAAATATTTACTAAATTGATGGATGTAGCCTTCACATCCATCTCATAAAATATTAAATCTTTATAAGTTTTTATGTATGTATTTTGAAAAAAGATTGAATGAAACAATGCTAACAAATTCAACAGTTATTTGTCTGTTGAATTTTGATACGCCTTTTATATGCTTGCAGTATTCTCTTAATCGAACCTAGCAAAAACACATATGCAGTGAAATGAGTGAATAAGTTGAAAACCAATTTTTGATAACTCGTCACCGATTAGTCAAACACATCCCTCTCTAATCCAGAATATCTGATAACAGACATGCAAGTAAGAATAATATCTATCAACTATTCTATTGCAT